TCCACAGGGGCGTTACACACAGCACATCAAGAACCTTCCAGCCCGGAGCTGTTTCACTACACATTTGAGCCCCTGGGTAAGGACTCATAATATATTTAACTGTATTTTGGTGCTAATTACCACCATCTACACGCAGCCTAAATGAAGTCGAGTGGCTTCAAAGGGTGGAAATGTTAAAACAAATGTTCTGGAACATTCAGTACCCTCACGGCTCATACTGTAGTATGAAACTTCACTGACGTCTCTGTGAGACAGTGAGCAGCAGGGACGGTTTGTCAAAATTGGGGCAAGTATTGATGGATCTAAGATGGGAGTTTAGCCCTAAACCCTTTCAGAAATGTTCACTATCAATTCAGGGAAATATCTAAATGTTTAGGGCAAAAATATCATATCACAATTTTTTTTTTCAGGAAAATTTTATCACGGTTCTTTGTTATGTTGGTTTTACTATTTTGCAAGCTGTCTGAGCAGTACAGCCAAACTAATTTCCCTAGCCTTACAAGGTAACAAAATATAAAATACAAAAGAATGGCAGACATTAAAATAAAAAAATTAAAAACATACAATATTAATTAAAAAATAAGAAGAAATATACACATTACAATTCACATAATATACAAATAAAACAAACAGTGCTTTATTTTTCAGGTACAGTAGGTGTATTTAGCAGTAGCATTTAAGAAATTTCATGAACAAATATAAAAATAAAACACTATTTACACTTCACTGTATAAATTATCATTTATACATTGATTCTTATTAAAGCAACTGTATTAAAATTCTTAAGTCAAGAGCAGTGAGTGATTTTTCTCTTTGTTTTGTTATTTTATTAACATTAAATGGACAGTTCAGCCAAAAATGAAAATTCTGTCATCGTTTATTCACTCTGAAGTTGTTTTGAACCTGAATGAGTTTCTTTTGTTGAATATAAAAGATATTTTGAAGAATGTGGGTGACCAAAACTACTACCAAAGTCAATGGGGACCAGCAACTGTTTGGTTACCCACATTCTTGTAAATATCTTATTTTATGTTCATCACAAGAAAGTTGAGATTATATCGCCACCTGTTGGTTTGGCATGCTCTTGACAGTGCTACATAGCATGCGTTTGCGTTTTCATGTGGACGGAGATTTTTTTTAAAAACGGAAGAAGGAAAAAACGATTTTAGAATGCAAATAGTTTTCAATTGTCATGTGTCTCCTACCAACAAGGCACATTTTCTGTGTGAGTTTGTTGTGATCAGAACGACTTTAAAGTCTGGTAGTGTATGATCCTCAGTTGTTGATGGCCAGTTTTTCTCTGTAACCATTTGCAAAGTCGGCAAGTGTATGATCCCTAGTGTTTTCAAATCTGTTCAGATTTTAAAAGTGGTGTAGTGTATTCCAGCCTTAAGTCCAATGGACATCTTTTATGGTGCTTTCTTTAGGCTAATCATCAGTCCTTGGTCCCTTCGCTTTGGTTTCCATTGAAGAAAGTAAGTCATATGCATTTGGAATGCCATGAGTAAATAACAACTGACTGTTCATTTTAAGTATGCCGCTCACAGGTTTCAACCAGCTGTACAGCAGAGGTGGAAAGTGTACGAAAATATTCTACTTAAGTAAAAGTACAATTACATTAATGAAATTTTACTTAAGTACAAGTAAAAGTACCAGTCTAAAAATCTACTCAAGTAAAAGTAAAAAGTAGCTCATTTAAAATTTACTCATTTTTCACGTAATTTTAACAGTGGGAGGGAGGCAAAAATGGGATAGGCCAAGGGTGTCAAACTCAGCCCTGCACAGTTTAGATATAACCCTAATTAAACACATCTGATCCAGCTAAGCTAATCATTTAGGCTTATTTGAAAACTACATGGTATGTGTGTTGCAGCAGGGTTGAAACTAAACTCTGCAGGGCTGCGGCCCTTCAGGAACTGAGTTTGACACCCCTGGGATAGGCCTATAAATCTCAAACTAGTTGTTTTTAATTAAAGGAATCAGTTACTTAGAATAATAAGACATTTGCGCTGTTACCAGGCAAATTAAATCAGTATCAACGAAATTCATCTTTGCAATGCAGAGGAAACACAGAAGCTTCATCGGAAGTGGCATTTAGATGTATTTACACACTGTTTAATGCAGGACATGAATGCATTTAACCTGCATTTACAAATGCAGAAATAATGTTTTGATATATAAGACATAAAATGTTGAATACTAATTTGAAATTATAAGAAAAAAAATCTAAAGATACTTTAAATGTGAAATTAAAACGGCCAGTAGGTGTCAGCAAGTCACTGTTAATAAGTGAGTCATTGCGATTGAACAGAATCATTTAAACGGTTGATTCATTCAGGAACGAAACACTGTCATGTTGCTCAGAGATGCAAAACTGTGCTATGGTGGCTGTGTTTGAAATTATTTTTGTTGTAGAAATAGAGCAAAAACAGGCAATATGGTGTCTAAAATGCAAGTCTCTTAATTAACTTCTTGTTTATTGAACTGTTGTAAAAAGAAAAAATCTAATAATCATGTATGTAATCATGCTGATTTTTGGAGGAAAAAATGCCATTCTTCGTGTGATATTGATTTACTATATGAAATTATATAAATATAAACATTTTCTGCCCCTATATCTTCAATTTTGTGATCATTCTAAATGCATTTTAACAAACTGAATCACGCAGTGAAAGAATGCACTCTAAATGCACTAGTCTAACCTAGACTTCACGGCACTCTGTAGGAGTGTTTTGTTCGTTTTTTGGCAAAATACTGATCATGTCAAATCATTCAAATCAAGCGTAGCGTTAGTTCTGGCAGGTCACGTTAGTCAAGCTCGCATCAGCTGACTCTCAGCTGATCCCCATCAACCTATGGGAATCAATCATCTTTGACGATAGTGGTCCTGACAGAAACAACAATTACGATATTATCGCAGACGATATATATCGCACACTTCACACCACTGTCTTTTTGGCTAATTTGTGCAAAACCTCTTGCTAAACTGTCAAAGCTTCATTTTAACCACCAATGCAACGATGCAAGTATTTACCTTACCTATACATGCTTGCGAAGGGTTGATGTCGAGATTTTATAAGCTGCTAGTTTGGTCTCCCTAGGCAAACACAGCTTACACTGCATAATAGAGCATAAATATGGCCAGGGGTTCACTTCATTTCCTTCGAGTCAACTTCAGCAGAATATGACGGGGTTTCGTTTTCAGCTGGGTCTGCACCATAACGCCTGTCCTGTCCGTCTGCATCTTTCTTGTGATTTTAGCACCAGTTTGCTCTCCTGCCCATTATTTACTGCAGTAGTTTCCAGGGAGCGATTTTTTTTTTTACTCAGTAATTAATGTGTTTTAAAATGTAGCGAAGCACAATACTTCAAACAAAATATACTTAAGTAAAAGTAAGATTACAGATTTTAAAAATTACTTTAAAAAGTAGAAGTACACAAAAAAGCTACTCAATTACAGTAACGCGAGTAAATGTAATTCGTTACTTTCCACCTCTGCTGTACAGAATGTCATTCGGTCTTCACAAATCCAATAAGCCTCATTGTGAGCGCCAACCAAACTCTTATCAGACTGCCTGAGCTTGACTCATATTTGCAACATGGATCACTTCGATAAGAGAAGAGCAATGTGTCATCTTTAATACGCTTAACATCTCTGCACAGGAACAACTTTCCCCCTGCGAAGTGACTATGCACCATAACTATGACTAAAATGGCTATGAAGTCAGTGTTACGTCATTTTAATATGGAAATTCAATGTTCTCAGTTAACATTTTCTGACTTTTTTTTTCTTTTTAACCTAAATCTAATCAATAAGCAATACAGATAAAACGTGGTTGTCCTTCAAAAACAAAGAAACAGTTCTGCTTTTTGGCACTGACAAACCAAAGCACTATAAATCTGTCTTATTGACAAACTGCACCATGAAGACCTAAATCCCCTCTACTACGACGGTTTCCAATTGACCTCTATCTCAGCACAAGACTAATGAAATCCAGAATCAATCCCTCCTAGACGCAGACGAGTCCTAGATTTAATACAGTATGCAATTAACTATTAATATTCCATCTTAACCCAGAACCCAGTGTGGGTTAAGATGCTACCCATTTGTTATCAAGACCACAAAGCTTTCACTTAAGGTCTAGTTCATGTACTGTATGTTTCAGAAGAAATGTGTTACAAGGTCTCATTCATTTCTGGTTTCCTCATTCAGTCTCATACACTAAAAATGACAAATCACTCTTATTTTGTATGCAGTCTGTGCTGTTCAAATGGTTTTGATGTATAATACTTCTTAGGCTTCTGTAAAACATATTGTGTTTATCTGAATTTCCACATTAATCAGAATAAATTGATACTGAAAAGCTAATGAAAGTAAAAAAAAACAAAAAAAAAACACCATTTTCATATTTTTGACACCAATATCCGCTTAATTACCAACTTTGAGAATGCAATTGGGAGTTAACGGACTAATATACTTTGGGCAAACACTTTTCATTCAAAATTACCTTTCTGTTGATGGTTATCCATATGCTATATTTATCACTGTAAACCTGACTAAATATCTTATGCACTCTCACATGCACCAAGTATGTTAAGAAAGAAAAAAACTTCTTAAAGAGACAGTTTACCCAAAAATGAAAATTTACCCTCGTGTCGTTCCAAACCTATATGACTTTCTTTCTACTAAATAACACAAAAGAAGATGTTTTGAAGAACATTGGGGTCCAAACAAAAATGGACCCTACTGAAAATTCCACAGAAGAATGTATACAGGTTTTAAGAGCAACATGGGTAGCTGAGTAAATGATGACAGAATTTTTAACATTGGGTGAACTATCCCTTTAACGTAAAATTGCACATTTTTGCATTGTACAAATTTCCGTTACCAGCCCTGGGGTGGTTTAACCAGGCTGCGTCGCCCCTATAAAATCACTATGTCATACTGGCAGTGCATTAGCCTAAAGCTTGAGAAAGCTAAAGACATGTCTTGGACTTACCTGTGGACATTCATTTCTTGAGGCGGTCTGGTGGCTTTATCATAGGCCACTTTGGCAGAAATTCCCAGGATGATAAGGAGGGCAATGACCCCGCAGGTGATGTAGACGGTGGTGTTGGTCTGGTCCAGTGCAGGGTCGTACGTGTCCCCTGTGGGTGCTGGTGAGGGCGGTTGGGTTTTGATCCAGTCGGGCGTGTTGTAGTTGGTACAGACTCTCTGATCTAGTCGTTTGGCTTTCACAGGACAGCAGAAGCGCAGGAAGCAGCTCCCGCAGCAGTACCGGTGGTCAGTGTTGTTGCAGGCAAACTCTTTGTCGTACTGACCACTCACGTCATAGTAACCAAGACAGGTGTCATGATCACCAACGATGGGCGCCTGGACTTGTGTGATCCGTCGGGGTGCAACTGTCGGAGCAACGGTGCTGTTGACCTCCCTCACCTTTGGGGGTCTCTTTGGAGGGGGTTTGCTCTGCTTGGCTGTGGATGCGCTCAGAACGCACAGCGGGTCTAGATAGACCAACAGAAGTAGGAGATGTCGTATCCCCATGGCTTCAGGTGGTGATGTGTTTCTCCTCTTTTTATAATTTCTTCAATCCGGCACCGACACGCTTGTCATGCACTCTTGCAGGTCCTCCATTCTCCATCTCCGCGTAGCATCATTTCAACAGTCCTCCTCCCTAAGGCTCTCATTCTTTAAGGCATAAGGGCTTATAGAGTCAAAACAACAACTACGCAATGCCCATTTCACGGTGAGTGGATGGAGTGAAAAGGTTCTCAAACTTGAAATCTACTTGCTCAAGACTACATTATGTTAATCTGAAAAACAAAATATGAGAGGGAAAACAATTAAAGGGGTCATATGATGCTGCTAAAAAGAACATTATTTTCACAGTTCAAGTCGAAAATGCTAGTCTACATGATTTGCAGTACCATGGACAGCACACACCTCCGTTCAGTATGTTCCTGCAAAATTCATTATACGTTCTTAACAGAAACAAAAAAATCATACTAGGTTAACACATAAAGACTGTCACCACTACTTACAAAAGCCATGAATAGTAAATCTATTGGTGTGGATATGTAGTATATTTCCATAATATGTTGCATAAAATATATAAAAAGAAATCAAAATCCCTTTACAAATCATCAAAGTTTACACATTCAAGAATTAACAAATAAATTCGAATTAAAACTAAATTAATTGAATTAATAAAAGCAATTAAATAAACATATAACAGTACTGGCATTCAATAAAACGAATGAATTAATTTGTAAAAGCTTTATAATCGCTTTATAATTGTAATCTTTTTAATTATTTTTCGTTCCCACTTTCCCTGTACAAAGATTTCCGTCAAGTCAACCAAAACGTGTTTCATGTAGTAACGTTCAAATGGACAGGTTTTTTAAAAATATAATTTAACATAAAGGAATCAAGGACTACGTTGGATGACACTAGCAAACGTAATTTTTAAAAGCCATGCCGGTTACACATAGCCCCTTAAGTTAACGCCTGCGCATTTTCACTTTTACAGTGTAGTAAACCGAATTAATACTCATATATTAAATTACAATCTACTCACGTTACCTCTGACATTTGACATTCATTCATGAAGAAGCTAAAAAGTGGATTTAACGATGCAAAATGGGCAGAACTTACGAGTCCAGTGCGCTCGACACCGGGATGTCCGTCACTGCGCTTCCGAAACGAACAGAGCTGAAAGAGATATGCTCCTCCGCTCCGCTGTGACCCGCCTCCATCTCTCTCTCTCTCTCTCTCTCTCTCTCTCTCTCTCTCTCAACAACTGCATTAGTGTCATGGACAGCCTTTGAACACACAAGACATGTTCGTTCATGAACATTACTTTCAGGAAAACATATCCCTTTCTTAAAACTGCACTACACCTCAGAACTGTATATTGATTATCTTCTATAATTTACTTCATTGCAATCTAGAGCGTTTAAGAGCAGCAAATTATCATCATGCAGTAGTTCAGCTGTGATTTCTTGGCTTCTCACTATTTAGTCTATAGGCTACTCTATAAAATATTGTGGTTACTCTTACAAACATGATCAACTGTGTAAACTCTTTTTAAAAATCTCGAACATATATATTTAATCTCACAATAAACATCCACGAAGATAAACCCACCCACATCCGTCGATTGGCCGTTATGACCGTTAACTTTTGAATTTTGCGAGAGCGCGAATTCCTGTGAAGGACTGGATGACGCGTGCAAATATCAGGAGCAGGGACTTAAAGAATATAGAAAAAAAACAACGCAGGGCTGTTCTACCCTGATTAAACATTATCAGCTGTATAAAGTCGGATTTACAATATTCATCTGATATTAGGCTGTAATTCTGCCTGCAATCAACATCGGATTACACATTATCATCCCTGTATGTGCACTTGACTGCTACAGGATGCAAAATGATGATAGAACAATCCATATAAATATAATATCTGTGTTGTGGCATAAAAAGGTCCATACTGCAGCTTATTTCGGTCAAAAACCACCCACTGACTGACATGTAAAGTAATCTATCACGGTTCCTACAGTAGGGGTGAGGTTATCTGAAATATACAGTGGAGATCAAAATGAGAGACCAATCTATAAATACTTGATTTTTTTTCTGAAATATTGTTAATCTTCATCGCTCAAAATTTAAAGGAATATTAGCTGTGGGTATACTACTGTTATACTAACATTTTTGACACAATAACAAAGGCATTTCAACAAAAACCTTTATTTTGTGGAAAACACAGTGATCAAAATTAGAGAACAATAACCACTTCTGCATGAAAGAAGATTACATCTAAAATGTTGGAGGGTTACAGCTGTCAAAATTTAGTAGTAAGTGTAGAGGCCACAGGACATCTCTAGTTTCTCACACTGCACTGGTGTGATCTTGGTCCACTCTTCTTTCAGTCTCTTCCACAGTTCGGTAATTGTAGTGGGTTCTTTAGCCATAACTTTAGGGCCTTTCGCACCGCGGGAACCTTTTCATAGTACCAGAACTAATTGTAGAACTACCCACTTTTTGGCATTTTCGCACCGCCGGAACTGGGTGCGATTTTGGTACCGGACTGCCTTTTTCGAGAACCAAATTAGCTCCTACTCCGGAGCAGGGTCTAACCAGCACAACTGGTACTAATCGTGACGTAAGTAGACATTGATTGGCCAAACGTGTACGAAAACGCCCTCACCCGCCATGATTTAAAACGCCGTGTAAACATACTGTAAACATTGTGTCAACTTATTTCGCAAGTATGGAGAACAGCGATAGATGGACGGACGCTGAAGTGCAGGCACTTTTAGCAAATGTAGCACTGCCAGTTGTCGTTGGAGATTTAGTCCTCCTTTCCGTTCTTTCAATCGCTTTACGTATACGTCGACTTTCCATGTCCATTATTGTGAAACCCGTGAGACACAACAAAAACACAGCTCCGATCACAGCATCCTCCATCTTCATGTTGTTAATGTTGTTCTTTGTTTCTGTTGTTGAACGCCGCGCACAACTG